TAAATATGTAAATATATTTTATTTCAGGGGTTCCAAGCACCAATATTATCCTTTCAATGACGAATACTGAAAACAAACTACATCTTTCAGTGTAATAATATATATCTAAAGAAAGTGATTGCATGTTAAAATGATTGTAATCCCATTAACAAATAAAGTGAATAAACAGAAGCCACATATCTTCTCAATGACAATAAAGAACTTTAGTTTTTATTTTTATTTCAATTTAAGTTATAAATCAGTGGACAGTCACTGGGTAACAGTGACTATAGTTGGAACATTTACAATTGACATAGTCCGCAATAAAACTGTCGCATTTATTTTTTTTATAGACTAGAACGGTTGCTGACGGAACGCCTAATACCTTTACATACGACAGACATAGTAGGGAGTATCGTAAACATAGAAAAGAGATGTCAGGTAGGAATTGCAGCGAACACTAATAAAGAAAAAGGAATAACATTACACCAACTAACGTGTAACAGAAAGAGATACAGACAAGTGGAATTTGAGTATGATACCAACATCGAACTTTAGAGAATGTTCTACATTCTCAGGAATTTAGGAATGCAGTGAAGCTTCTTTAAAGATATAGTTCTGACCAAGCAGTTATATAGCCGACCCTAATTTTTTGCGTACCTAAGCAACCTTTAACCGCTGCCCCGCTTACTGTTATTCGGTTATCTCTTTTCACCTTTTTCTGTACAACTCATGAAGCATTTCTTAACTTAACAAGGGCGTGTTGCAAACACATTAAATGACTACAGCCCCAAGTTGAAACAAGATAGAAGATACGTCTATTCTCACAGATAAGTTATTGCGGATTGCCAATTTTGATCGTCCCAACTATAAGTAAATATTGGAACAGCAATATTCCAAAGATAAATTCTCTTCTGTTTTCAATTCGTCCGTCTCATGTGCAACTCTTCAACTATCATCCTTCCATTAAAAGGAGACTGAACACGACCTTCTGCCCTATCTTCTGAATACGCATTAGTGTAGTAGTGCCAGTTTTGATCGTCCCAACCATATCCATTGATTAAAATAACACCAATCCTTTCACTGCGAATCAGTGATTTTACATCCACTGGTACATCAGTAGAATTTCAGTGAGGCTATAAATTCGTTAATTTGCATTGTAAAATAATTTTATTATTAATTTATGAGGATTAATACAGAACATTAACACACGAAGAATATTTTTTACAAATTAAACGGTTCCTCTGATTTAGTTNTATGTTGAGAATAAAAAAAAAAAAATTTTTAAAAACCTTGTTTTTCTTGGTCAGGCCGGAAACTTATCAATCCACCCTCGTATTACGTGCAGTTTTCTGCACTACTAATCGGCTAGGGTTTATACAGAAACATTTATACGTACAAGTGTAACTTCGGTAGTAACTAATTCAAGATTTTGCCCACAATTACTTATTTAATTTACTTTGAGTGTACGTTTTTCACTTAAATGTAATCGTTTTTTGTTTCCCAATTTGCAGAATTCACAATAGACACCGTAAATCATAACGTATTACAATATCTATGTATGTTTAAATGTAAATTATGCACTATGATGTTATGCTAAACTGTTGTTGTGTAATATATCATTTTGAAAAAAACCAAAATTATCTATAGCATTTTTTTTTCGTTATCTATTTACACGTGAATGATAATATATGAAAGTCAACTGCATTACATAAGTAAAACAAATTTGCTTCGTTTCCACGTGAAAATGGATTCCTAAGGGTACATTATCTTTATGAGTGTTTAAAAATTTGAACTGATGAAGATAAAGTGTAATAATAGTAATAAACGTAAAGAACATGGGTATTTCGCTATATGCAAAGCAAAATCATAAATTCTAACACTTAACTTTTTGTATTCTTAATGAATATGTAAAGTACTTGTATGTTTTTGGTCAATTTAATAATTTAATTTCGTTGATATACAAATTTACTTTATAAAACTGTGTATATATTACCGGAAATGTATGAAATCTAGGAACTCTATACAATTCCTAGGAAATGTATACAATTCAGAGGCTATTTAGGAAATCTATAACATATTATTTCAAAAACTTTTTAATACACACATATCCTGAGAAATGTATACATTTCCTAGGAATTGTATGAAATTCCGATATTGTACTAGAAAATGTATAAAACTAATGCTTTCTGTGAGTAAAATGAATAAAACACGTTAGTAAACTGAGAATCTATTATCTGTGTTTACGCGGTTCTAGTGCGATCACCTGATGTACGTATATGCATTGGTGACGTTATTATTTGGTTAGGTTAGGTTTGGAAATGTATATGCATTAGTGACGTTATTGTGTGGTTATTAGGTAAGTTTATGACAGACTGGAGTGTCTTTAATGCCCCTGCCATTATCACCTCTACAACATACTAAAAATTCGAGGTCAACGTGCTTGCTAAAACGAAGATAAACTCGTCACATTATTCTAACATGCAAAGGCATTGATGAAACTCCCTAGCGAAACAATGACCTTCCCAACGAATATAGGTACATCTCCAAACAGCCTGGCGTATTATTGCCTATTTAGGAAATGTATAGATTTCTTAGGAAATGTGTCTAATATAATTTATTTCACACATTTCCTGGTGACTTTAGGAATTATATACATTTCCTAGGAATTGTATACAATGACGGATTTCATACATTTCCGGTAACACATATATGTACGTATACTTTTATTTTTATAAAGGAAAAATAAAGCTGTAACTATATAACTTCTTAGGACTAATAATACAGTAAATCTGTAAATAGAATAAAATAGTGCATTACGTAACGAGGGAATTGTCAATTGCCACCCGAGACGAAGGCGAGGGTGGCAAACATGCAGTCTGAGATAACCCTGTTTCTTCTCGAGGTACGTATACTATTTTTTGTCATGTTTTTGCGGAAAGCTCGTCATTAAATTGATAGTTGCCGAAATAAGAGTAAATGATTTAGAGGTTAGGAAGACATTGCCATTGAACAACTGATTTCTGCGCATGCCCGTAAACTTCAGCGCATGCGCTCAAAAGACTAATTTCATTTCCTCCCGACTAAAACACGGCTGAAAAGAGGCCATTTCTTCCCTATTTCACAGCATGCAAAACGAGCTTTCCGCGCTAACATGACAAAAAGAAATAAACATAACTCAAGGCGCCTTATACCGAACTTAAAATCTACAACGGTGTGGCACAACCTTAGCTCATCATTATTATCATAAGGTTGTCAGCCC